CCAGAGCAATTAAACAAAGAGCCAAGCAAGAATAACTGTATTATTTATATTCTACATGAATTACAAGTTTAGGATAATACTTGCAAAATTTAAGTGATAAAGAATTTGAAAGTTAGGACAAAAGTGGCATGCTTTTTAGAAGCTTTATTAGAATGTAACTGTCAGGACTGACCATGTTTGTTCAGTGTGTCAGCAAGGCAGCAGTGTAGTTTTTCTTTTTTTTGTTTGAATAACTGTTCTGTTCTAAAAGCAACTACATCACTTGAAAGAATTGGTTTAGATAAAGCACATGTAAGATTTATGCTCCTTTACTGAATCATGCAACACTGTAGGCAAGATTCAATATATTCAAGGGAAGTTTATGATTTACTGTACATAGCAGGTAAATGGTGTCTCTTGAATGGCACATAAAACTAGTAAGTGGTTGAAACTTGGATTTCAGCAATGAACCTCTACTAACGTGTAGGTGGGTGGGAAATCCAAGTTCCCACCATGACAGAAGGGATTCAGCCAGCATTACTGAGATACATGAATCAAGTTTCCCCAGGAAACATGTTCACACACAAATTAGTCTCATTCGACAGTGAAATACTGTAAGGCTGACAAACACACTAGGTACATCTTCACTGACACTCTGGATGGCTTCCTGTGTCACTTCAGTCCTGCTCCACTGGTGGTCCACAGTAAACATCAGTTAGATCACTTAACTGTTTACTTCCAGAAACTTAACTAGTTTTATGCAAGAAAAAGACAGAACACAATGACAAATTATTTTGTCAGCTAACTCCAGTGTCAATCAAGTCCAGATAGCTACCACTACAGCTATCAGTTATCAACTGTCTATGGGCCACAGAAGGCCAGAAGAACATAATCAGGAGAAAACTCAAATCTCTAGCACAGTATCATCCTGAAATACAGATTTGTTTACTTACCAGCCACTTATGCCATTACAGTTCTTTCTTACTGACCACAATGCATCATTCTCAAATTACTGTTACCAGCATATTAATAAACGTTTGTCACATGACATTAAACAGGTACTATATTAAACAATGCATTTCCAGTTTATTGCATCTATCACATAACAGAAATAAAAGAGTACTTCCTGCTAATACATTCTATGCCACGAGTTGTTCTGAAATTTGGGTAACATCTCAAAAGTTAAGCAAGCCTTCCACATGGTTCAGATCCTGTCCATCTTGCTTTGTTAGTTTTACTATCATGAAACACCTATGTTGATTTGAAAATGGGAGTATTTCCATATATATCAAACCAAACAGGACCATGCATAAACCACAGCAATTGTTTACACTACAAATTTAGTAGTAGATGGAAGAAGCAGGTAGGAAAAAAAAAAAAGGCAAAAATACTGAGTCCAGTGAAATTTTATTTAGCCTCTTAATATTATTTATAATTATGTAATGTTAGCAATCTATGTAATCACTAAAAGAAACAGATGAACTTCAACTGGCAGAAGAGAGAAAACACTGAAGAAAGGATTTCAGAAAATAGTCAACAATGGGAAAATTAAGTGACCATGTCAGAAACAATGTCCACAAAGAAACATTCAGTGAGTTTCCCTGTTTGCAGGCAACCCTTCCACATACAGGCTTTGAGTCCTCTCTGCCACACAAGCAAACACTCAAAGTCACTTCCTTAGATTTCTCTTCTCTCACTTAAAATACCATTTTTTTCAGTAGACCTGTGCCTCAGAAAATGACCTTACAATGCAACAGTACTCAGAAATGAAGATCAGCTGCTTCTCTGCAAAACTCTCACAGCAAACTTTCACCTGAGAGATTCAGAGGACAAAGTCACTGTAATCACATTTTACTCTGTGCTGCCAAAACGATTACCTTACTAACTTTGTATATGCACATTATAAAAATCATCCATTTACGTTACAGTGAATTACTTCAGGCTAACACTGGGAACACAACACCTGAAATGAATTTCAGGTGACATAAACCATCATCAATCATACTTTCTCAACATTAATGCTGCTTCATAAAGTCTTCTGCTTCACTGCTTGAAAAAGTAGGTGTTTTAGAAAGAAAATGTTCTGCAGGTGGTGCCATGTATACCGATACTTTTCCCAAATTAGCAGGTTTTTCAAACATACAGAATAAATCAAACAAAACAGCATATTTGACTAATATTTAAAAGACAGATTATTACAAATATTAGTAAAGCTAAAAGCAACTTACTTGATCCACATTTCTAACTATTTTGAAGATTAGATACCAATTTTGAAAGAAGTAAATAAACAAACAAAAAATTAGAAAACAGCAGTTATGTCTTCCTTTTGTGCTAAATTCTCAAAATGCAACAATTTAAAATGCAGACTTTTTATCAGATTACACAGGATTATACTGTAAAGTAAAAAAGTGTAGGTACTAAATTAAGAAGAAACACATGCTGTCAAGATTGGACACACTGACATTGGAATTTTTTATGGTACCAGTTTGTGTTATTTCCAGCTAATATTTTAAGTTGCAGGTGGTTAGATCCTGTGTAACGTTCTGACAAAGCACTTTCACAAAAGCAACTTTTTGCAGTAGGGTAATAATAGAAAGACTGGCCAAGTCATTACTTCAATTGCTACGCTAAAGATGGCAGAAAAGGGGACTGGATTTAAATAGGAAAAACCTACTGAAAGAAAAAAACAACCACATTAGAATATGAATGGAAAGTTCAGTTATGCTATCGTTGATAATTACAAAGTCTTTGTAAAACAAAGTCTTCACACCCATAATAAAAGCACTCATGCTACACAGGAATATTTACACATTCTCAAGCATTTGCTTATAGCATTAAAATGTAACATTCAACATGGCACTAAAAGTTTAAGACTAATCATTTTCTGAACTGCAATGTTTGTTAAGATAAGAATCACATAATGTTTTAATGTAGTTGACAACAAATGCCCGATACTAATGGAGGCATTCC